CCAGAGAGCCCAATATACCCCTTAATTAAGGAATAGACCTTTAAGGGCTCCTTAAAGGGATCTATAAGGGATCCATAAGGGAATGAAGGAATATACCTTAAATCGTAATATTAGGGGCCCCTAGAATTTAAGGTATATTCCTTATCTAAGGGGTATTGGGCTCTCTGGGTAATCCTTCAACCCCCAACCCTGCATGCACAGTCTCCCAGGGAGCTGTAGACTTTCAAGCAGCGTGAGCTACTGGGCGTTGGGCACGCTGTAAGCCTGTAAGCTTTGGGGCGGGGGAACTTTTGACATGTTGGCTTCCAGGTTCCAGGGTAATATAGAAGCCTAAATAACTACCAATATTACTGTTGGGGTTCCTTATTATAAGAATACTAGAAAGGAGGCCAAAACCCTGTTGTAATTATTAAGGCCTCTACCTTATGTAGATCTTACAGATATTTCAGGGTTGACTTGCGCTTGAAGGAGCTATGGTTTCCGGCATCAAACAATGCAGGGCCCTAAAAAATGCCAAAACTATCTTGGGGGTTCGTTACGATAGTTTTGGTATATTGGGCCCCAAAACCCTATTCTAATGATTAAGGCCCCTGCATTATGGTTTCCGGGACCAACCGGTTAGGTGGCAATGCCCAGCCGACCCTCCATCGGAAGCGTCTCAAAGGACTCTGCAGGCAATCGCTGTGGGGGGCATCGGAGTTCTTCCGATCATGTCGGGTTTCACATTCATTGGGTTCCTTTAGCATGTTGTCGTTGGGTTCCTCGGGCATGTTTTGAAGTTTTAGATGTATGTGGAGGAGGAGGAGGAGGAGGGAGTAAGCAAGGTGGTACGGAATCTAATGGGCTTGCAAGTGACACTGTGCTTGCGAAGTCCCGGATCCCTCATGCATGAATGGGCTGCAAAATATAGTGTTGTTGCAACGACAAGAGATCTCTGCCTCGCTTGATGAGCCTACTGAATTCGCGATCTAGTTGAGGGTGCCTCCATTTTTGTGTTTGGGGTTTCGAGCTTCAGGAGTTTGGGGTTCAGGGTTGAGGTTTCGGGGTTTGGGGCTTACTCGCCAAGCACCCGCATTCATGTCGCACCATGATATGAAAGCAGATTTCGCCATCGCTACGATCCGCATGATGACTGTGACGATGGCGGCGATGATGGAGCAACAGGCTGAAGAAGATGAGAACCTGCGATGAGTGTGGTCATTTTGATGCGGACTTCAAAGATGATGATAGCTGGTGATGATGATGATGATGATGATGATGAGGAGGAGGAGGAATACGATGACGATGACGATGGTGATGATGTTGTCGATAATGAGGGTGAGGATGAGGATGCGAGTGAGGAAGTGGATAATGAAAAACATGATGATTATTTTGATGATGATGGTGATGGTTATTAGGTATGTGCCTGCTCATGAGTAACTTATAGATGAGTTGGGTGGCGATGATAGATAGTGGTGCCGATGATTATGGCCAAACTACTAAGAAAAGATGCGCCGAGCTGAAGCTGAAAGTTGGAGTTTCCCCCCCTCATACTAATATAGCGGCTTAAAAAATAATTACCAGTACTATGTCGGTGATTCCTTCTTATAGTTGTAGTAGAATATACCCCCAAACCCTCTTCGAATTATTAAGGCCGCTATAGTATTTGATTCGAAGCTTCGACCCTTTCTCTCTAAAAACTAAACCCTAAACCCTGAACCCTAAACCCGAAAACCCTAAACCCTAAAACCCTAAACCCTATTTTCAAGCAAAAGTGCACCCTCCCCAGGTCCGGGCCCTGGCCCTGGGCGTCCCCCAGTGCCTGGCCCGGTCTCGAGCGCCCCTGCCTCGGATCGCAGCCTTCCTGCTGCCCCGCGCACAGAGAAGGCGGGAGAGGAGGTTTTTGATTTTGAGGGTTGAGGTTTTGGGGGCTTAGCGTGGGACTCCATACTTAGAGGCTTTCTGGATTTCAGGGGGTTTGGTGTTTTTGCGATGCGTTCATGAGAAGTAGAGTTGTACGTACAAAAGCCATGTTTTGGTACCGATAGCCTGGCTTCCCAAGTCCCCTGATCCCCGAAACTCTGAACCTTGGTCAGCCTGGTTCAGGGGTAGTTTTATAAATTAGGGTCCCAAATAAAGTACGGCACCCTTAACAAAAAGGACCCCCAAAGGGACCCTAATTTAGAGAACTACCCAAAAAGTTGTTGTTGGATTCGTTTCTGCCAGTGAGAGATTGACGGGGCTGAGATGGATGACTTCCACGCTTGGGATTCGGATGGTAGGTTTGGCAAGCCGGGTGCTGTAGGCTGCAAGGTGCATGGGAGTAGGGCGCCTCAAAGTTTACCTGGCCTACTGTAGAGGGGCCTAAATAATTACCCATACTGTTTTGGGGGCTTCCTTATTATAACTATAGTATAATGGGCCCAAAACCCTATTCTAGTTATTAAGGCTCCTATATTAACCCTCAGCCCCAATCTTTGTCCTAAACTCTCCACCCCAGACCCGTTGCCCCACTCCCCCCACCCTAAACCGTAAGACCGCAAGCCACGACCGGAGCACTCGGCCGTAGGACGCATCTCCGGCGCCGAGGTTGCAGAAGCCCGGTCCTCAAATGCTGCATGGAGGGTTTAAGCTAAGTATCTATCTTGCCAGCACGCAAGTTTTCAACTTCCTTTTGGCATAAGTTTGTGCTACTCTGAGAAATTATGCTGTAGATTTCTTGTGGTATTGGTTGGATAAGAACAGGATTGCCTGCTGCCTTAAATCACCTAAAGGTGAGGGCTCTTCAATGCTTTTGTGGACTTAAACTGGCTTATTCACTGGTGTTCTGCTCGTCTCGCAGGTTAGCGTTTCCAATTATAAATAGAAATCTCCACTGTTGGAGTATCCTAGGGTTCGCAGCTGTTGGGTACATTGCAGAAGCCGCAAAAAGCTGGAACGCTTGAGCTTGGGAAACTATGATGATTGAGCATTCCGAACAAAATGGATGTGTGGACACTCTCGGCTATGGGTGGTGTGGTTTTAATGTAAAGGCCTTAATAATTACTGTAGAATAGGTTTTGGAGGTTCCTTATTATAATGATAATATAGTATACCCCCAAACCCTATTCTAATTACTAAGGCCCCTATATTAGGCGGCCCATGGCCCTGAAAAGGGCAATTCGGAGCCTTTCTCGATCTCCCAGCTCACAGAGGCTTTCGGACTAGGCTTTCTGCCCCAGCGGCCCAGTTGCCGGTATAATGGCAGCCCCCATAATATAGGGGCCTTACTTAGAGTAGGGTTTTGGGGCCCCCATTACACTATACTTATAATAAGGAACCCCCCAAAATAGTACTGGTAATGATTGGTTTTGGGGCCCATTGCACTATACTTATAAGCAGGAGCCCCCAACAAAAGTACTGGTAATGATTGAGGCCGTTATACCCTAAGCCCTTATTGTAGCCGCCCTTATAGAACCCTGTGATAAGGAGCCCCCCCAAATAGTATTGGTAGTGATTGAGGCGCCGCCCTTATTGTAGCCCTTATAGAACCCTTTAATAAGGAGCCCCCCAACATAGTACTGGTAATGATTGAGGCCCTTACCCAGAGAGCCCAATACCCGTCAAATAAGGAATATACCTTAAATTATAGGGGCTTTAATATTATGATTTAAGGTATATTCCTAAACCCTAAACCCTAAACCCTTATAGATCCCTGAAGGGCCTTAATACCCTAAATTATAGGGGCCTGAATTTTTCTGATTTAAGGTATGTTCCTTATTTAAGGGGTACTGGGCTCTCTGGGTATATCAACCCTAGGACTGGGCTCTTCGGGATGTCTACTGGAAAACCAGCTCACGCAGGATGCAGCTCGAGGTGGATACCGAGTTACTCCTGGAGAAGGAGACGACTGAGTTCACGGCTTTTGGGTTTTGGGCTTTGAGTTTTTGGGTTTTTGGGTTTAGGGTTTTCGGGTTTAGGGTTTTGGGGTTTTGGGGTTTAGGGTTTTGGGGTTTAAGGTTTAGGCTGTAGGGTTTAGGGAACTCTGCTCGTGTCAGCAAGTTCAGGGGCTTGGGGAGTACCTTCTACCCTAAACCGTAAACCCAAAACCCTAAACCCTAAACCGTGTCTGAGCTGGGGCCTCTGCAGACTGAGGCTCCTTGCGATCCGTCTTAGGATTCAGGAATGAGGATCTAGGATGTCCTTACGGGTTTAGGATGTTAGGTTTAAGGGTGGGGTGGGGTGGGGTGGGGTGGGGTGGGGTGGGGTGGGGTGGGGTGGGGTGGGGTGGGGTGGGGGGGGGGGGGGTGGGGTGGGGTGGGGTGGGGTGGGGGGGGGGGGGGGGGGGCGGGGTGGGGTGGGGGGGGGTGGGGTGGG